AGCATTGAATGTTTGCTGTTTGTATGTTGTGCTCAGCCTTTAAGACCCTTCAAGATAAGAAGGGCAGAATATAAATGTTTTAAATAAATAAATAAAATATCTGCCTGAATTATTCCATGCTTTGAAGGAAGTATTTGCTTCTTGACTTTGGGAGATTCCATCTTTTCCCCAAACTGTATGAAATGAAGTGTTGGGTTTCATCCCTGACTGCACAAGTCTCCAGCCCTCAATGAGTAGTTAGCCTAGATAGAATAGAGTGAGGGATTCCTTCCTGAAATTACCTATGCATGCCTATCTCAAGAAGGGGCTTAGAAGGGGCTCTGTCCTTACTCTTCCTGCATGCCACTATCTCATCCCCTTTTGAATACTTAGCAATGTGATTATCTTGAGGGATAAGGTAACTTCCTCTTTTAAATATATTTTTATTGCCCTGGTCTGGCCATGCGGCCTGTCTCCATTTGGCTCTCTCTTCCTTTTGTCTTCCTTGAGTGAGGATGCATCTTGCTTTTCTCCAGGCAAAATGTAATTGCTTATGATGAGGTGGACTTTAGGGGGTTAGATCAGGAGATGAATCATAACTATGTCAGAGCTATGTTTCCCATGCAGAGTCTTCATCAAAATTTATTTCTCTGGAGATCATGGTTTTCGAATTTTCAATCTAACCCACATGTACTCAATATCTATATCAGTTATTTTACAATTATAGATTTAAGTGGATGTCACCTTTTCTGTTAACAGGCTGTCCTCTTTCTCCTCAGCTCTGTATAATGTTGACTGAACATTTCTTTGCACCTCATCTAATGCCATTGCCCCCGGGGGCGCAATTGGTTAAACCCTTGTGCCAGCAGGACTGAAGACCGATAGGTCAGAGGTTCGAATTTGGGGAGAGCATGGATGAGCTCTCTCTGTCAGCTCCAGCTCCCCACACAGGGACATGAGAGAAGCCTCCCACAAGGACAGCAAAACATCAAAAACATCCGAGTGTCCCCTGGGCAATGTTGTTGCAGACGGTCAATTCTCTCTCACCAGAAGCAACTTGCAGTTTTTCAAGTTGCTCCTGACACACACACACACACACACACACAAATCTACTGCAATGTCTTCTGTCATTTTCAAGTTGGTGCACTTGGACTGGAGCCATTTTGTCTGAGGCGGTGCCATCATGTCACCCCGAACACGCCTGAACTCATGCAGTTTTAGAAGGAAAGCAGGGTCCAGTTGCTTTGTACTTGGATGGAAGACCACTAAGGAAAAAATGGCTATCTCCAAGTTGGGCTAAGCGGGGAAATCCTGAAATATCTGCTGGATGAGCAGTGTAACTATGTACCCTATATGGCACCGGCCCAGTGTACCTGTCCGAACGTATCTCCTTCTACATCCCACCTAGGAATTTAAGATCTTCTGGAGGGGCCCTGCCCTTGTCACAGATGAGATTGGTGGGGACGAGGGACAGGGCCTTCTCGGTGGTGGCCCCCCGCCTGTGGAATTAACTCCCCAGGGAAATTAGATCATCGTCATCCCTCCTCTTTTTCAGAAGGAAATTAAAAACATGGATATGGGACCAGGTCTTTGGGTAATCTGGCAGACTGACAAGGACAATGATGACTAAAGCTTTGGAAACAGACTATGATAAGCGGAATGAATTTATTAATTACGGACTTGGCGAAACGATGGCCACCAGGCTGGCTTTTTATTGTGTTAATGTAATGTTTTAACTATTTATAACTATGTATTTTATTGTGTTGAATTGTAGGCATCAAACGTATGCTGGTTGGAAGCCACCCTGAGTCCCCCTTAGGGGGTTGAGAAGGGCAGGGTAGAAGTACCCGAAATAAATAAATAAATAAATAAATAAATAAATATTTTATATTCGGCACTGGTAGTGCTTCTGTGAGCCACCCTGAGTCCCTTCAGGAAGATGGTGATGGGGTATAAATCAAGTTTATTATTTATATATTATAATGAAAGGACCAAGGTATTGACATCTCTGGCCCATCCTCTGTTCAGATATCAGCCAGCACGCCAATGCCTTAAATCAAGAAATAATTTTCTAAGATCTACAGAGATACTCGCAGGAACACCTCAGCAAACGAGCGTCCAAAAGTGGCAGGCTAAAACCTAGAACCTCAAACCATAGCTGATATCAGATGATAGACTCCCCCTGGCACACAGAAGACTAGATTATTTGGAAGGCGCTGAACAGTCTGTGCTCTGGCACCACAAGGTGCAGAGCCAATCTTCAGAAATGGGGCCACAAAGTGGAGTCCATGACATACGTGTGTGGAGGAGAGCAAACCACAGACCACTTACTACAGCCTGAGCCCTGCAGCCTGAGCCCTGCCACATGCACAATGGAGGACTTTCTTACAGCGACACCGGAGAAACTCCAAGTGGCCAGCTTCTGGTCAAAGGACATTTAGGATAATGCCAAGTTTTTAACTTTGTCTGTGTTTTTAAATACATTATAACTGTACCCTCAATTTGCAAATGAATAAAGCAAAGGCAGACTTCTGAATATTAGCCTGAACCCTAATTTGGAATAAAAGTAACAGCAGAAGGGAGGGACATGTGACTGTAAAACGCTTCATGAATGTTTTTGTTCCAGGCATCTGACTGTGCTGACTCTGCTGCCGAGTGCACTCATCAAATCTATGGCTTTTCAGCTGACGGAGTGGCAAATAGGCCTTTGACTGTAGTTTGGTATCTGAAGGAGAAGATTTTCCCCTGCAATTGGCTGAGCAAAATCCCTACTCATACAATGACAGCTGTGAACCCTGCTGAGGGCATCTGTTGGGTAGTTAATACTGGTTGGGAATCATATAGCTCTGGCTGTGTTTTGTTTACCAGAGAAATTCCTATGCTTTTTCAACAGCATTAAAAGATATTGTACCTCCTGTTTGTTTACATATAATGCTGGGACTGTGCCGTCTCTGTTCCCTACTGCTGATTTGCTCCCTGCAGGGGAGCTAGCACATTGAAAGCCTTATTTTATTATTATTTTCATTTCCACGGAATAATAATAGCAATAATAATAATAATAATTACAATAATGCCAACCTAGATTTGCAAATGTGCAGTTAGAACGAAGTGGGCACAAATGAGTGGGACCTGATTCTCTTTGTTTGCTCACAAGATTTTGGGGAATAAAACATATAAAATCAGAAACATTTTTTGGGATCAAATGGGAAGCAAAGTGTCATATAATCACAAAAATAGGAATTGCAGAGAAAGTGGGAATTTCTTCAGCTTAAGCTGTCCTATCATGCAGTGTGATGTTGTCCACATACTGAAAAAGACTGCATGTGCCCTGCTTAAAAACACTATTTATTTTTCTTGCACTTGGAACAGAAATCTTTAGATGCTGAATTGTGTGCAGTGGAATTCCAGTGGAATCAGATCAGAGTGCTCTTGGTTAACTGGTTCAGAGCTGGCTTAGTATGAAATGACACATTTACCACATATACTCGAGTATAAGCCGACCTGAATATAAGCCGAGGCACCTAATTTTAACACAAAAAAACTGGGAAAGCGGATTGATCCAAGTATAAGCCGAGGGTGGGAAATGCAGCAGCTACTGGTAAATTTCAAAATAAAAATAGATAACAATACAATTAAATCAATAGAGGCATTCTTTAAATGTTTTTGAATATTTACATAAAACTGTAATTTAAGATAAAACTGCCTAACTCTGATTAAACCATTATTCTAACCTTCTTCAATGTAAATGTGCTTATGTATGCTTCCAATAATAATAAAGAGAGTAAAATAATAAATGTAATCATAATAATAATAACAATAATAATAGAGTAAAATAATGGACATGTAATAATAACAGTAATAATAGAGTAAAATAATAAACGTAATAATAATAATAATAATAATAATAATAATAATAGAGTAAAATGATAAATGTAATAAAATAATAATTGCCGAGTAAAATAATAAATAATTTTGATTTGAGTATAAGCTGAGGGGGACATTTTCAGCCTAAAATAGGGCTGAAAAACTAAGCTTATACTTGAGTATATACAGTAATTCATTTCAGAACCAGACCAGATGGATGGCTTTTTGAAACATCATACAGTTATTTTTTGCTATTTGGAATATAAATCTAGCTTGCTGCGTTCATAGAACCTTTTGATTATTAAGTGTTGTATACAATATATACTGTAAATGTATAAGTGTATAACGCAAACTCTTCCAGTGTAAAGCCGTTGAAAGTGGCTTCAGTCAATAGAGTAATATTTCAGTATTTTAAAATGCGAAACACTCAGATGTACCATATATTCTGGTGTATAAGACTACTTTTTAACCCAAGAAAATCTTCTCAAATGTCAGGGGTCATCTTATATGCAGGGTCGTCTTATACGTGGGAGTAGTCTTATATGTGGGAGTAGTCTTATACACTGGAGTCGTCTTATACATGGGAGTTGTCTTATACACGGGAGTCATCTTATAGAGCGGGTGCTGAAACTTCCAATTGGATTGGAGAATCTGTGGTTGCCGCATATGGTGGGGGAAGATCAAAAATGGCAATGGCCGTGTTCCTGCCGTATGCAGTGACTGTATGAAAGCATTAAGAGTGATACTATACAAGTACGGTAGAAGAAAATCCATTCATCAGGATTCGTGGACTTAATGCGGCCCCGATGGTGAGGTGATGGGGCGCCTCACCAGGAAGGTGTAAGTGAAGGGTGGAGCAAGCTGCAGGCTTCCGGGGCGCCCGGGGTATGGAAAAAGAGATAGAGTGGCTCTAGGCCCAGACAAACACACCTCTTTTACTTATCTGACCAGGCCTTGCATCCTATTACCATACCTCCTCCTCTGCCTCTCAGATTTCGCTCCTGAAAACTGCAGTGAAGTGGTGCAGGTGCACATGTGCGAGATCTGAGAGGCAGAGAAGGAGGTACAGTAATTGGAAAATTACCATATTGAAATCAAATCTGGAATTTACTATTTCCTAGTCATGCACGTTTTACACAATGCCCTCACACAACACATAATTGTCAGTCAATTTTTAATGTACATATATACACATTTATATACACAAGATACACAATACATTTATTTATATACCGGCATTCTTGTACACAGCTATGCTAGAAAAAAACTACTTGCATTTGATCGGTCAGGTTGATTGTGGTTTTTTAAAATTAATTTATCCCATAATAAAGGCATTTTATAGGAAAGGATGAGCAAGCATCATCATTAAAAATTTTGTTCACATACCAAATTTAAGGATGGTAGTATCGTTTGCTTGGAATATACGAATAAGGAATGACAATAACAATGGACCCGGGATATAATATGGCTGACTGCTCTGTTAATCAGCTGCTACTTTGGATATTTTTTATTCAGAACTGTTCCCACATAACTGAATATATTTTAGATTTATTTTTCAGCAACAGTTAAAATGTAGCATTTTTAAAAAGCTTTGCACGTTTCACATATTAGGAGCAAAGCAGTGTGCTAGCACATAAAACACCCACCTCCCAGTGACATCTAGTGGGCATTAGGATTAACTGATGGTTTATAAGGTCACTAAAATAAAAACAAAACATTACTGAATACAGCATAAAAATAAATACTACTCAACACATTTAATTTACAAACCGTCAATAATATTTGGTAGAAATGAGGTTTTATTGCTTTTATATAATGAAGAATGGTTGAAAAGTCTTTTTTTAAAAAAGCAAAATAAATGGAGTGGATTGAAGCTCAGATAATTTGCCAACAGTCTTTTTCTGGAAGTGTTTAAGTTCAGTATCATTATAACAAGTGTTTTTAAGATGCTGGTACTACAAAAGGCTTTCTTGTGAGACACTCGAGCAAAACAAGATGATATACAACATAGTTGCTAACAGCTCAAAACGTACAAATTAATTCTCATTTAGCAAAGCATGGCTGTTCCTTTGATGGATACCCGACTATGCTGAATAACCTGATCCCTGTATTACTTGAGGGGAAAAAAGAGAAAAGAATCAGCATGTAGGGGGGAAATGTAACCTGTAACAATACAGTACATAAAAGAATATCTTTTTTTCAAGGGTACATCAAATTACGGTGTGTCACTTTCTTTTCTTGCAGTAACTCAGAATTACACAAATTATGTTTTGGAAGATGGTGGATTTTCTACCATTATCATGTCCATGTTATTCTTTTTTTACCTGAGTAACCTTAAGTAAACAGACAATGTGCATTGTACGTGCCTGACCCAGAATTCAATGTACAGTTTATGCTCACATAATGTGAATGGGGAGGGGGGGAACCCTCATTAATTTAAACTGAGAAAGTCAGTTTGTATGCGAAAAAAGAATTATTATGTGTTATCAGCTCCCTCTGTTGAAATCAGTGGAGGAATCCTGTCCAAGCAGGGAAAGGCAGATAGATATATTTGGGCATAATATATTAAGCATGGCTGCTTAAAGCAGTGGTTCTCAACCTGTGGGTCCTCAGTCATAACCCACCTCAGAGGTTACGAGGTGGGGCGACGGGGGACCCTGCTCTTGATCCTGCCATCCTTGCAAGTATGATTGGTGGAGACAAGAGACAGTGTCTTCTCGGTGGTGCCCCCCCCCCCCGGTCTGTGGAACTCACTCCCTAATGAAAACAGGCCGGCCCCCTCTCTTCTATCCTTTAGGAAGAAACTTACATCTTGGTTATGGGACCAGGCATTCAAGCAGCAGATGCAGCGATAACAATTGGAAATGATTATGTGATTGACAGTGGACAGACCCTGGACGATGACTCTGGATTTGGAGTTGTCTTAATTTAAATGGATGTTTCAATTTTGCTATTTTAACTAATGTCTAAGTGTGATTTTATTACTACTGTTGTTGGCATCTAATGGTTGCTGGTTGTAAGCCACCCTGAGTCCCCCTCAGGGGTGAGAAGGACAGGATATAAATGTCTGAAATAAATAAATAAATACAGTTTGGCCCACAACTCCCAGAAATCCCAGTCAGTTTACCAGGGGGGAGTTGAAGGCCAAAACATCTGGGTACCCACAGGTTGAGAACCACTGGCTTAAATAATCTTTCAATTTATTGGGGCTTATTGTAACCCCAAGTAAAATGAACCTAGTCTTGGTAGACTGTGTCATAAAAGTATAATTCTGAAAAACGAATTGTCATCTAATGTGCTGATATTTGAGTGCCATTTTACCAATACAAAAGCAGATAGGAACTTATAAAACATTTACTGAACAGCAAAGTCTGTGGCAGTCTGTACAGAACAAAGGACTTATGTACAGAACATTATTTTCATCACATTGTGTGCAAGTTGGCTCCGTTTGCCATGGAAAAGCTGCTGCCAAAGGTTCAGATGCCCCAATGCAGCGTAGCAATGGAGAGCACAGAGGAACGAGACCGCAGATCCCAAACTAACACTGTGCTACGTGGACAGCTGTTTGTAATTCATATAGTGCATATATCAGAGATACATATAGCAGCAAATACAATGACATTTACACTTTCTAGGCTTGTTACACTTCTTATGAATGAATGACTTGTTCTGTGAGAGAATGCAACTGCTCCAAAATCATGGGCTTATAGCAAAAATGTTTTCTGTTCTATATGCAGAAAAATAGTGCAGGAGGAATAAATCCTTTACAGTAGCCATTAAATAAATTCAAAAGCACTTCCAACTTAGAAGTTTAAAAGAGTCACATATAAAATGAAATGTACTTGTTTTAAACGGTTCTGTTAATAAATTTCACTGTAACTCCAATGAGATGCTTCTGTCTCCTTTGTGCTCTGTTTACTCAATTTTTCTTGTTATTCCTTTTTTCTCCTTTAACATATCGCTGAATGAGAATCCTTGAAGCAATTCCTAGCTGGAGTCATCTTGGTGGAAAAATAACCCAGAGGTTCAGTCACTTTTACGAGGTAAGTTTAGAGTAACTTGGAGGAGAAAATTTACGTTTTAAGTACTTCAGAATATAAAGTGGAAGACAGCTTACTACAGTGATGGCTGACACTTTCCACAGGAAGGTCACAGTTGTGATAAAGGCAACATCTACAGGCATAAAAAAAGAAAATTACATTATAAAAAGAGACAATCATCCACAAGTAAGATCAATAAATACCACTGTACTACTGTCACTATCTTTTTGAAAGGAAGATAACATGCCAGGAGCTGGATATTTTAGGACAGTGTTCTACACAACTATTTGCTTTTTCCTAGAAATATTTTCTTTTGTCACTCCCCTCGGGGAGATAGGGTGGGATATAAATGAAGTTGTTTGTTGTTGTTGTTGTTGTTGTTGTTGTTACTCCGACCTGAGAGTGGTTTAAATAACACTAAAAGAACCTATCTCTCCCTTTGAACCATCTAAGAGTTTAAGATCATCTGGGGAGGCCCTGCTCTCGGTCCCGCCTTCTTCGCAGGCGCAACTGGCATGGACAAGAGACAGGACCTTCTCAGTGGTGGCCCCTCAGCTGTGGAACTCACTCCCTAGGGATATTAGATCAGCCTCATTCCTCCTGACCTTCCGCAGAAAAGTGAAAACATGACTTTTTGAACAAGCCTTAGGGAACCTAATGCAATAGATAAACACAGAATTATGTGAAACCAAATACTGGAACAGCTTAGACAATATTTTTGGATGATAAGGCTAATAGTGAAGGTAGTGGTTTTATATGTTTGTATGGGTTTTAATATATTTAATATAATATAAATAAAAACATATTTAATATATGTTTTTACAATTCTGTTTTAAATGTTTATTGTAATTTTTACATTTTTTAATGGCATCGAATAGCTGCCTATGTTGTAAAGCCGCCTTGAGTCACCTTCGGGTTCGAGAAAGGTGGAGGAGAAATATTGTAAACAAACAAACAAACGAATAAATAAATAAAAGGAAACATCTGAAAGTTTCATGCCATTTCTCAGAGGCAAGCATGACAAAAAACAGATAAGAGCTACTGGATTCCTCTGTGTAAATGAAGATGGTTCCAGGACAAAACTATCCTTATTTCAAACAATAACTGGAACACATAATATTCTGGCTGAAATCAGTATACCTTTAAATCCTCTTCTGTATTAACAACATACTGTCATTCTGGCTTATTTTTATAAGGAATATTTTACATTTCCAAATTCGGTAAATTCGGAAATATAAAATATTCCTTATAAAAAGTAATGATCACATTTTATGTTCTGTTCACACCTTCCCTCCCCATCTTTTCCTTCAGGCTAAATGCACACTTCACTATGAGTTTTAAATATGTAAAACATAAATTAAGCAACAAAATTAATAATTTAAGTAGCCTTTTCCAAACCATAAATCTGTTTCCACCCAAGTATTTGAAATCACTGCTATATGAATGGGAGCAATTAATTTTTTTAATATTCCTAATTTTGTGTGGGGGGGGTTGCTTTAATGCGCCAGTGCACCTTATGTTTTAAGAAAATCACAATTATACCTACCTAAGAAAGCTCCAAAAGACACTCTGCCTATGCCTGCTCCAGTAAGATGGAAGAAGAAAGGACAGATTTATAGAAAAACAAAGAAATAAGAGAAGATATATACACATATAAAAGAATGTATTAAAAAGCTCTGAAAAGTTTGAAAGAGGTTAGATTCAAAGGTATTTGGAGATCATTCCCTTAAAACTTCATTCTGTGGCCCATTCCAGAGGTGAACACTACTTTTTAAATCTGTATTAGTCAAAGAAAAGACAGAGGCTAGTAGTCCTACATAGGCAACAGGACTTTGGATTTCTGTTTGTGGAGATGGAGGGATCTTACTGGGTGTGGATAAGCCTTTAGCAGAAGGGCCAGGTTTTTATTTTCTATGAAATACATTTCTTTACAATCATATGCCTCAATTTCCACAAAACTAGATCTAATTGGTACAGACAATAGCATTTACTCTCAAGTATAATCTGTATCATACAGTATACTCCTTCAATATCAGTTGTGAAGTAGTTTCATAAACAAGGCACCTGGAGACAGAGCAACAGAGACTACACATTATGCATGGGACAGCTACTCACCAAAATACTCATTTAGAAATGCAAGAGAGGCCACATAGCAGCAAAGACTGAAGATTTCCGCTACCACCATTAACCAATGCCAAGTTCGTATGGTAAGTGCAACCATTAAGAGCTCAGTCAGGATTAGTGCAGTGAAGGAAATGGCAACAACGTGGACGAATTCAGATTCAAAAAGAAGGAGCGCTCCATACATCAGAATTCCACCTAAGGAAAGTGCAAGAGATTTAATTACAGATTTACCATTTAACCTGTTTTCCCCTACATTTTCCCCTGGAACAGCATTGCTCAAAATTCTGTTACACATTGAGTTTTCTTTATCTGAAATCTTGGGACCAGAAGTTTTCCAGATTTCAGTGAGGCATTTACCACTTTCATCCAGTCAGTGGGATGGTTTTCTCGGGCTGGTTTTCAACCATGATCAGGTTCCGGGTGTTTTTCCATTGACCAACCTGGCATTGAGCAAAACTATTCCCAACTGAGGGCTGCTGTTGAAAGTCTATCCAGAATATTTGACGGGTGGGACCATGTGCTACCAAACCAACACAATCTGCCTGTTCCCTCTCCCACAGTAGTAGCACCGTCTCTTCACTCTGTGCTTTCTTTTCCCCATCAGTTCATCGTCTGCTCCTTTGCTCTCCAAATTGCACATCTTAAAGCAATTGTCGACAAAATAAACCTGTTGAATGGTCTATGTGACCCGTGCAAAGCTGGGGACCGAAAGAGTTTGCTACCTCCCCCGCAGAAGAGACTATCAGAAAGTAGTCCCAGATGGGAGTACTTTCTGGGAGGGCAGAACCACAGCAGGTAAGTAATCCGCCTTCATCTCAGTCTTCTTCGGAATGGCAACCCAACCCGGATAGAAATCCCCCCTTACATTCTAGGGGAATGTACATGCTTCCCACTCCTTCCTTCCCCTGTTTCCCTGCACACTGTCCTGAGATCTTATGGTATACACCACGGTATAAATAAATGTATTTAATTGCATAATATAAATAATATAAATAAAAATAACATTGTATTTATGGAAATATGTTTTAATATGCATATTTTTAGAAGTACGTTTTAATATGTGTGTTTATAGAATTTTTGCAATGTTTGTGTGTAACTGTGCTGTGACCTGCTTAATAATAATAATAATAATAATAATAATAATAATAATAATAATAATAATAATGGTGAAAATATTGCTAAAGGACAAAAAAAATATTTAGCCTAGGGGAAAAAAGGAGATCTCCTACCTTGGTAAATACTGATTAAAACCCAGATGAGGAAGGTTTTAAATGACAAAGATCTTCCCTGCGAACAATGAAGATAGGGCACACAATTATTTTTGAAAAGGCTCTTCAAGAGTACAATATTGTGTATGAAGATACAAACAAGTATATACTTAAGAGCAAATTCAACACATAAATATTCTTACCAAGGCTATGCAACAAAAACATGCTTGTCTTATGGTGCCGTGACAGTTATACAGCTCTAAAGTGCATCACAGACACCTTGAAACTAGTGAACCAATTATTCTAGTAATGTAAGACGGAATAACAATATAATGATTCTTATACTGATAAAAACAAAGTTTGTGCATGGAGCTTGCCTACATCCTAGGGGTTTCACATTGAACATTCTCACCTTAGTAAGGTCTTTGTAAAGTTCTGGATATAACAGTGCCATTTCTGGTTTCACATCTTGATCCAACACTAATGAAAAAACTGGAAACATTGTATATATGGTGGCATACCTATAGGAAAAAAGTAATTTTTAATGTTCCCTCTTTCTGTTTCTTTATATCTTATACATAAACTACTTCTTCCTCCAAAGGATCTTAGTGTTCTTGGAAGCCACCGTTTACACTGCTCTCACTGTAGGTATTTTTTTTTCCTTTTCAACAACCAAAAATATAATTTCTTATACCAGCAAGGGCAAACGGCAGGGGTTGACGGACTGTATAGCTCCGTTATGGGACTTACCCTGAAATGTTGCATTATTTGATGAAAAAAATGACTTTAACATCATAATCACTTATTAAAAAGTGAGAGCCCCTTCCCTCTGGACCTTCACACCCTTCCTATGTTTTGAGTAAAATCAATATTCTATTGGAGGGCAGGTGAGTGTGTGTGTGTGTGTTCTTGTGTGTGTGTGTATCCCTTGGTGTTTGCTGGATTGGGTTCCAAGACGCAATTCGATATCAATACCTGATGATGCACAAGTTTTATTATATATAATGATTTAGTAAAATGGTGTCCCTTATATAAATGGCAAAACCAAAGCTTGCCTCTTGGATTTTTTTTCAAGCCATGGGGTGGTTGGAATTGTAGATGAAAAATCCATGGGTATGGTGGGCCAACTGTACAAAGATTTCAGTGGATACCCAATAAATGTTACACTTCAGCTCATTAAGCTGAAGAATAAGAATAATGGGATGCCTATGAGACATAAACCCATTCTTTGAAACTCCAAAAGCAGAACACTGCTACTTACCCTACCATTAAGAAACCCTGGTATAGAGGAACTGATGCAAAATAGAAGACTGAAGAAAACACAGCCTAGAAAAAGAAGGAAGTATGGGTTACTACTAATAACATGCAACTGTGGAAATAATTTAAATACATACCACAAACATTCTATGCATTATTCTTCATATAAAGAAAATGAAATAAATACCTGCATAGTTGAAATAATAAGGCCTCTGTGCATGACAAATTGACCAAGTGCTGCTGATCTTTTATAGCTATTTCGACCATGTACCATCAGCAGTCGGCCAATGTGTTTAAACTGTGTAATGGAAAAATCGGCAGCCAAGGAAGCTTGTTTCCCTTCCTAAGGGAAAATATAAAATGACAAATTAAAATGATCACTGGTTTATAACACTTTATCAGCATATTAACAAGTAGAATCACTACAGAGAAAACTGAAGCAATTAATTTTTATATTCAACCATCAATTTTTCTATTACTGTGAACACTATTCTTTATCTTTTAAGATATATTTTATTTATTTTTGTTTAAGTGCTAAATGTATCCACACATTTCAAATGAGGAAATAAAAAAAATACACAAATCATAAAACAATTAAGAAAACAACGCCCTCCTGGGAAAAGTTAACAGCGACAATTACAAGTATAATACAGAGATATTAACTGAGATGATCCTTCATGCAAAGCCCTTGATAGAAAGGTACTAAATGCGGCATTGAATTTTTGCCATAGTTTGTACGCCGTTCTGAGTCCCCTTCGGGGTGAGAAGGATGGGGTATAAATAGAGTAAATAAATACTGTCATAATCAGTATAGATTTTCATAGGCATTCATATTTTTTAGGATGTAGCCCATTAGTATTTCCTATTAGCTACTTTTAGTGGCTTCCATCAATGAAATGGGAAGAATGTGGACCCCCATGCAGTTCCCTGCATCAGCTAATCTCTTCTAGAGGATTACAAATTGGAGAGGTAAACACAGTGGTTTTCAGGGGAAATGAGGAAAGATGAATGGAAGTTTGATCAAAAGATAGTGCTTGAATGACATTCTCTCCCTGCTTACCACTTTAACCTATTTAAAAGTACATTTAATCCAAACTGCAAATATTGTACCTTTCCTTCAATTCCAATTCCACAATCTGCTGCTTGGATCATACTAACATCATTTCCTCCATCACCTGAAAAAAAAAGTTATATTTTAGTGTGTCATAGCAACATTCTACACCATTTTGCTTCCTGATGAACTTAATGAGCTCCATGAATTAGCATTTATGTCAAAAATAACTTTGCTCTTCCCACTTTGGAAATGAAAAACAAAAACAGGAATCAATTATATATTTTCTGCCTTCAACTTCAACAATATCTGGTATCTTATTGGTAAATGGCAAATGAAAAAATTGTTTAGGGCATTAAGTTATTCCTTTAGTAATGACTTCAAAGACACTATTTGCATAATTCTTAAAAACGCTGCAAATCCCTACTAAACAGTGAAAGGTCCAAATGTATATGCAAGACTCAGTTTTCCTAAGCTTGTCTACTGCAGGATGGGAACAAAGTCCGTTATATCTTTACTTTGGAGAAAATTTACCAACTAACCCCATGTCTGGGCAGATCCAAACAAGACACTATTCCCCACTTTGAACTATATTGCCTGAGTCCTCGAGTATATGAAAGGACTCCTAATCATAACCAAAACTGAGTTAACTGACAAACAATTGCTACAAAAATAATTGAAAAAATGTGTTACTTCTTTGTGTGTTTCAGCTGGTCATGGGGCACAGTGGATTTGTTTGCTAAGATGAAGTAAACAATTATTGGACACTTTCAAATGCCAATTAGTCATTGTTCTCTCAAATGTAATTGTAACTGATCTGTTTTAGGAAAAATCTGAAATAAATCAAAATAAAGCTTTCTCTTATCATTATTAAAATATTCTTTTCATATTGTCCTTTAAAGCTATTTTGAATTCATTTTTCATTGCTGTGATCAACCTATCACCTTAATAGTTTGATCACTATGTGATTAATATGCCAACGGAGTTGATACTTGCCTATGGCACATGTACGCTTTCCTGTATGGTGTTGCAACAATTTTACAATGTGGGCTTTTTGGGTGGGAGAACATCGACAGCAGACGACAGCTGGACACTGACATGCTAGTTCTACAAATTCATGCTCATAGTACTTCAAACAGACCTATAAAAGAAACACATTTAATTTCAGATTGGTGGTTGAGCACTCAATAGAATTCCAACAGCATTTTTTACTTTCAACATTCAGTCAAACAGCTGAAAGTTGGATTACTTTTCAGCTATTATACCAGTATGTATACCACAGGCTATGACCAGAATCCAAAGAAACAGCAGGCAGACGCAAAAGAGAACATGTCTCCATTGTGGAAAAGACAAAGAGCTTTGAAGGTTAAGCAGCTTGCTTCTTCAGCAATGGAAATAATTATGATTAAAAATAGGAATAAGATGCATTTCCCTAATAGTCTGTGAACACACTTTCTTTGGATCCTGCCCACAACGTATGAACTAGTCTACTTCAAGGTATCCAAACTTTTAATGAATAGTACCTTGAACAAAGGGGGGAAGTTACTGAAATAAGATTTCACAAGTTGCTTTAGTACTGTGAAGATAGAGTTAGCAGGCCAAAAACTATATGCCACATGATAATAAACCTTAAATTGCTTCATTTTAAGGCATTATTCTAAGTGTGTTTTCTGTCCTTGTAATTTATTTTGCACCCTATGGAATAGAAGTGTGTTAGAATGAAACTAAACATGACTTGATTTAAATCTTCTTATTTTAATCTACTAACACAGAGCAGGATGATTCAGATAGTGTTAGTGAAATCTTACTGGGAATTGTAGAAAGTCCTATGTGTGACCATACCAGTAGACCTCTCATCTTCAAACAGAAAACAAAATTTTGGTTGGCTTATTACATCGCCTTACAGTTCTTTCTCAGTCTTATTATCACTTTGTCAAATACACTATGCAGTTTGGCCAGATGGTCCCTGATATCCCTGATCCTGGCATGGAGAAATCTACTGTATATACTTAGGTACACGTCAATCTCGTATGTAAGTCAAGAGCATGTTTGGGGGTCAAAATTTTGGATTTTGATATGATCAATGGGTAATAGAGGGGATGAAGACCATAGAGGGGAGAAAGCCCCCTTTCTGCCTTGGGGCCAAACATTCAAAAAAGCTAGAATTGGTGCCACAACAGAGAGGGGGGAGGGGAGAGGGAGAGTTAGTTGAGGGCTCCTCTTTTAGGTTCTCCTGAGGTGGATGAAGCCCATATCTTTTGCCACTCTGCTCAGAAAAGGGAATAGTTTCTTTCTTTCTTTCTTTCTTTTGATAAGAATTAAGATACAGTTCTTATACTGACTTGTGGACAAGTTAATCCAGGTTTTTGCACTGATTTTTTAACTAAAATTTCTAGAGATATATGTGAGTATGCAGGGCAATTCACACCAAAGGCAATAACATATTAAGGCACAGATAGACATGATGTGGTCACTCCTGAGGATGGTGATAAATAGTTTCTTCTTAAATGAGAGTAACTGGGAGACTGATTGTTAGACCTTCCAAATAAAACTCCCACAAAAATGCCTATGTAAATTATAACTAGCAGCTACTCAACAAGGGCAGTGCATCCCTATGGTGGTTTGGCAAAGCCAAGAAGTTGCAAACTGCTAGAAGACTGCTGCCACTTACTGAAATCTCTTCTAACCTTCAAGACGAAGAAAAACATAACAACTTATTTCAGTATATATTGTAAAAAGAAAAAAAATGAGTACCTGTTTTGCAATTCACATTAGTTTCATTTTAAGTGTTGTATAAAGTAAAACAAATTCCAGATTTGTTTCACCCGAAGGTGTTGCTTGGGTCTTTTTTTCAACATCTGCTGGAAAATGCCCCTACATTAACTATTCTTAGAGATTACATTAACATTGCTGTCAACTGACAAAAGCCAGGGCCATACCTCTAGAGAATCGCCAGATATTACTAACGCACAGTCGTGTTTCCTCCTGAAAGCATTTAGTTCCAAATGAGCTTCTCCACGACTGATTATCTTAATTAAAAAAGAAACATGCAAAGGTTCAAGGTGGAACAGTAAAATACATTTCTATACAACTCATTTTTACTGCAAAGAAATTCCTTCTACATTTTTTTTATTTCCCTTACAGAGCCTTTATTAGCTGGGGCAAACTCTGTTCCTGTTAAAAGCTACTGCAAAGTCACTGAGAATGCTAAAGACAGGTTATGCAGCTTCAGTTTCCTCCCAAGACCTCAGTGTTGCTGCCATCTGTTTCACACTGTTAGCAGCCTTTGTTTAAAATATGCTAAAATGTTATCCTAATGCTAAGACATACCCGCATGGTGGTTTTCCACCAGTGATATATGTACCAAGATGGCTATTGTATAAAGAAATAGGAGTCTACAAAACCTAATTTGCTATTCTGACGTTTCAAAACAAATCATACTGAAACACCAATACAATGTTGTATTCAGTAATTATTCCTAGGTGTCTCTATGGCTAGTTTTGAATGTAGATATATATCCGCTACTAATATATTATTATTCTAAGAGTCTGAAACATTTGGTTAAAATTCAATATTAGCATGGGGAAAATAAAGATGTATAACATAGTCATATGTTTCACCTTTTTTCATGTCAGGAGTGACTTGAGAAACTGAAAGTCGCTTCTGGTGTGAGAGAATTGGCCGTCTGCAAGGATGTTGTCAGGGGACACCTGTATGTTTACCATCCTATGGTAGGTTTCTCTCATGTCCCCACATGGGAAGCTGGAGCTGACAGATGGGAGCTCACCCCACTCCCCAGATTCGAACTGCCAGCCTTTCGGTCAACAGTTTAACCCATTGCACCACTGGGGGCTCCATATGTTTCACTGCCCTGCAGGGATTTCACCATCCTTCAACATGATTGTTGGAGTGCCTCAGGTATTAGCACTCTCACCATTACTATTCATACTCTGCATGACACTACTACAGGAAATTTGTAGACTATGCATCTCTGGACACTCCTATATGCAGATGACATAGCACTCGGCCACAAAAAACGTGCAGCTCTCTAACAACAGCTGCATACATGGAGTGATAGACTAAGTGAAAATGGACTTCAACTGAACATACTCAAAACAGGGTACCTTGAATGTGGTCTTCAAACTTGGAAAAACAATTCAAATTAATGGACAAGAGCTAACGAAAGCCACCCAATTTAAATACCTAGGATCACTGGTCTCCATGGATGGCGACAAAATGCCAAATGTACAGTTGCGAATAAATGCAGCTTGGTTGAAATGGCAGCAAACTACTGGCATTCTGTGTGACTCAAAAAATGCCTGGACAACTCAAGGCTAAAATCTACACTACAGTTGTTCACCCAGTAGCCTTCTATGAGGCAGTGCTGACCAGCAACAAAGAAACACGGACAAGCCCTTAACACAATGGAAATGAAAATGCTGAGGTGGACTTGACCATGTGCCCAATGATGACATCTGTCAAAGACTAGGAGTAAAAGTGATCAGTAAGAAAATGCAGGAAGCAAGACTGTGGTGGTACAGCCATGTCATGAGAAAAGAATCAACATCCGTAGCACAAAAGCACTACATTTGGAGATTGCAAGACAACAACCACATAAATGGCCAAAGAAAAGATGGATGGACACCATCAACGCAGACATGTGTGATGCAACCTGAGACCTTAGGGTGCCCAAAACAAAGCCTTGTGGAAATGACAATCATAATGCTAACCCCTTCATTGGGAAAATAGCTTAGAAAGAAGAACATAGTTTTAAACATTTTTAAAAAGTTAGTCACTTGAATCCAAAGCTAACTTTTATACACAGAACACAGCTGCGTATTTTAACATTTGTGAGTTTTCCTTCTGAAGAATTTGGACTTTAAGTATTAGCAGTTCTGTAATTCAAGAATGTCTTTTACATGAGGCGGGCAAGTAATGGGAGTCACATCTACATAAATTGTAGATCATCAGAATAATATCTTAGCCTCCAACCATTTCGGGTTGTAAAAATCAAAACCAGCTTGAAAACAAACGAAATCATCATTATTCTCGCAATTCGATGGTAGTTCAAAACTAATAGCTATGAGCTATGTGCTAAGTGAATTTGAGAGCCATTTTATGTTCACAGATTAGAATGATTTATTAACAGAAAAAAGATGCTATTTTTCATAGTAAGAACTCTTAGGGATAGACTAGATAAGATGCTGGAGATAAGTAAAGGGATATATGTTGCTTTTTAAAACAAACAAACAAACCATAAGCTTAGGGTGATTCAAAACAGATTATTCATGTAACTTAATAAGAAAGAACATTTTATGGATCCCCCACATCATTTTCCAATCCAATGGATGAAGAAACATTGGTTGTATGTTTTTCAAGAGAGGGAAGAAGAGAGATGAAGAGGATTTAGATCTCTTCTAGCTTCATAGTCCAAAACTAATGACCCTGTCCGAGATATTCTATTCTAATGTAAAGGAAACATTAGGAGACTCAAAAAATATTCTACAGACATTAGTACCATGTACATGGGTCAACAGACGTTATACAAAGCATATCTAGCAAGAAGACCTAAGGAAGCACATGTGGTATGTTTGTTATATTTATAATATTTATAATTATTTTAAATTCCATATATATAACCTCGCAAAAATACTAACAAATATATGCCAACAAGACAAGACGCTAACAAGTAGGCATCGCTATAATTGATAAAATACATGAAATATTAATATACTTACAGGTCTGAAAATGTGAATATCTTGTGTTCTGGATACTAAGTGGGAGCTTTTGGCAATACAAGTGGCAGTCTCCAATTTATCCCCTGTGAGCATCCATATCTATAAAATAATTTTAATAATTTTATTTGTAGATTTATTTACTACACTTTTGTCAAACTCTTGTTCCTGTTCACTGCATTTAGTTCAAAATTATCATAACAGCTAATTTTAAAAAGAATTGTTGCAACACAGCAGTTCCTATATTTCCTCTGTCACTTTCCAAGTACTGTTGCCTTTTCTATGGAGGGGACTCTAGAATCCAGATGTGTCCTACATCTTTTACTTTTTATATGGCAATAAACCACAATGGATATGTAAATATCTAACAAGGACACCTAATCCATATAATTGGATTTTGTGTTTAATTTCTTTAAATTTGTATTTAAAGAAACAAATTATCTAGGAGGCTAAGAGAAACAGAAGTTAGTACCTTTATTCCAGCATTTCGTAGCATCTCCAGTGTTGGCCTAACATCAGCCTGTAGTTGATCTTCCACTCCAGTGAGACACAATAATTCCATTTCTCTTTCCAAACTCTCTACCACTGCAGCCACTTTGAGAGTTCTGTCATGTATACTTAATTTTGCTTGGTTATATCGATTCTATGTATAACAAGACAAAAAAATCTAATTTTGTGGCCACTTGTAGATAGAAATTTTAAAACATGTTAACTGTTCATTGACAAGTCTGTCATAGGTGACTAAAATACAACAGTTTGTACTCCATGTATTGGTTGCTGATTTCTGAGATTAAGATTAAAATCTCCAGATATACCCGAAGAGTACAAAAGACACTACAACGAAAATAAAAGTAATCAAAATGAGCTATGCCTGTAAATTTCAAGTCTGAAGTTCCCATTTGTGATTTTTATTGGTCTTAATAGTATCAAGGATTCTCATCACATCACATCTATGTAGAAGTTGCTACGTTTCTAATTTGCCACAAAATCTTTGATCACCCTTGAACACTCCACAGAGAATGATGAATATTGTTACATTTTACTCCTATATTTTGATATTTTAAAAGGGATATAGTCCATTTCTAAGAGAAGCTGTGTTGAAAAGAGGCACAGAAACTGTCTCTACTAGGAGCATTTGGACCTTCTTGACTACACAACTAATTTATTACAAGTAGTTTTGGTGCACTATTTATTATCCCCCTTAATTGGAGGTGATTTATTCTTTCTTGTTTTGTCTAATATTCTGCCCTATTACGAACATTGTTTCTGTTATGAGAAACAGAAACATTTGGTGATATATTCCCACCCCCCATTTCCTCTTGCTCTGTTGACTCTTTCCAACTGGGATTTCCTTAATTGTTTTCTTTAACTTTTTCTTTAATTACCTTTGTTGTTAGGGGCTGATTCTCAGCTACTGTCATGCTCTCTGCAACATTTATTCTTTTTTCTAAAACCTCATGTTTACCAATTATGGAGTTTTAAAACATCTTTTTCTATTTCTCTTCCAAATTTCCTTTCTTTGTTTCACTCCTCGTCCCCTTTTTGTCTATGTACATTTTGCTAGCCAGTCCCTCTATCTCTTTCTCTCAACACACACGATGTTGATGAAATTAGCTGCATCACTGATTTTCATCTCTCAACTTTCTCAGTGTTAATACCATTCAGATACCCGTGGGGTACAATTCTCCTATGGTCAAGGAAGTTCTCATAGAATAGGAGATGGTGGTTATAGTACATCTATTATCATCAGGAACCACAAAAAGAGAGTTGGCATAGGCATAGGGTCTCTTCAAGAAAGTCTGTATAGATCAGTGGTTCTCAACCTTTTTTTGACCAGGGACCACTCTCCAATATTAGTACCAAAAGGGTTACAAATTGGTTTTTTGTCAACTTTAGACTCAGTTTGGTTATTTGGGGTGCTGATTCAGAAAACTGCACTAGATAGACCACATCGGCTCTAGTATGATACAGAACATATGCCATCCAGTAGTCGCCATCTGCTCACCCACATAAAACTATATTTAATAATTTAGAACTGATGTGGTCTATCCAATGCAATTTTCTGTATCAGCACCCCAAATAACCCCAGGAACAGGCTTAAAAATGACACCAAGGTGCCCCTGCTTCCAGGTAGCACAGAGAATGGCTCTGCTCAGGGGGTGGGAGGAGGAGGAGAAGCAGCAGTCAGGAGGCTTGTTGTCACACCTTTCATGGATAGTCAGTTTCTCCCCTCCCAACATCCCGATTACCTCAGCACTATAAGAGGGTTTTGTGAGACCAGTTGCTCTCGTTGCAACAGTGTAGTAATGGTCAGGCCATGGACCATATTTTAGTTCTTGGGAACCACTGGTGGTCCACGGACCACAGGTCGGTAACCACTGGTATAAAAGGTAAAGGTTTTGACATTAAGTTCACTCGTCTCCAACTCTGGGGGTTGGTGCTCATCTCCATTTCTAAGCCAAAGAACCACCATTGTCTGTAGACATCTCCAAGGTTCCTGCCGGAACTGTACCATTTGCATGTTTTTGAACTGGTAGGTTGGCAGAAGCTGCGGTATAGATTAAGCTAAATATAAGCAAGAGTACACATCGCCAATCACTAATAAAAATGAGATTATATATGTGAAATTCAAAGAGGTGGCTTTTTCATCAAGAATTCTATTTTAAAGTATTTTGCATGACTTGTATTAAAGGTATACGCTACTATTGTTAAGCTTAGCACAGAACAAGTACAGCATCCGTCTCTATGTTTTTACCTCAAAATCCTGATATTGTTCTTCTGTTAATGATTTCTTGGCCACAACCAGAGTGCGAAGTCCTTCTCTTGCCATGTTCCCACACTAAAATTCAAATATAATAAATGATAACATCGCTGGAAATCATGTATAAAAGTCTTGATAGGTATAGGAGACACTTTATCTTACTTTAAATTCAGTTGCCTCTAAAATGATCAGCTAACCACCTATGTGTATTTATTCTCACAAATGGATATCAGTAAACTGGATCGTAGCTGCTAAAAGTAATGGGTACTTTAAAAGAGGCTTCTTGAATGGCCGTGTTACCTTGAATATTTCCTAAATCATCATATCAAGATTATATGAAAGGACAGTTTTTTCACCCAATGGCCATTGGTTTTGGCTGACTCATCCTTTTTTAAAAATCATCTACATGGAATCATTGTGAGATATTATCCACAGGTCACTGGTACAAAAGGCATACATTTCTGTCTCACATTTCAATTTACTAGTCAGGGGAAAACATCTAATTTGGATAAACGAATGTTTCTGGGATGGATGAAGGCAAAGAAATTGAAATGAAATTGACATATAATCCAATCCTTGGTCGTGACGTTGGCTAATATTGATAGAAGTTTGTAATCAGTTTTTGACAAGATTACACTATTACACTCTGTTGTGATATGGTCATTGACCATAATAAAGTTTACTTACTTATACTATTACTGAAGGATAAAGGACGAAGTTTGGGGGAACTGCTTGAGCCAATGGTTTAGGGTGACAAAGGTGGCCTCAGTCGCTAGGAATTACTTTTGCCAGCTTAGATTAATTTGCCAGCAGTGATCTACCTACAGGAAGTGGCTATGGCCTCTGGTGACTTATACTGACTATAAACAGATTAGTCTAATGTCATAACCCTTCACTAGGGCTGCCTTTAAAAGTAATCTAGAAAATAAGGTGGCATATGATGACATTGATTACTATTCATTTCCAGACTCAATTTAATGTGGCAGTACAGGCAGTCCACAAGTTACGGTCAGAGCAGGTATATTTTTAAGTGTAACTCCAGCCAAAAATATATTTTGTTTTAGCTTTGGACAACATAGGGAAGAGTTAACATCCCTGTGGTGTTAGTTTTATAGTCTGTGCCCCTTTTCAGAAGATTTGTCATCACTTTCTGTCCCTATGAGAATTTGATTTCGAAAAATTTGGCTTGTTGTGGAAACAAGGATTGGTGATAAAGCTTCAGTGGATACGTTTCCCCAGGTGTGAATTTATCTTCCAAGGGGTAGATTTCTCCCACTTCCTGTTGCCTCATATCCATTCTTAACTATAAGTCCTTTATAAGTCGGATGTTAACAACTCGGGGACTGTCTGTACTAACAATTTAAAAGCCGGAAAGTTTCGAGATGAAGTTATCATGGACAGTCCATAACTATATGAATTCCCTTGAAATGCCATGCTCTTAGTCCCCCATTTCTGGTGTTTAGGGATGAAGTTATTTAATGGTAGACCCAAATGGGTGAATTCATCTCAAGAAAATTGTTTCCTTCCTTCTATTTTGACCATTCAATCACCCATAAGGATTTATTTTACTTCAGCTTGTTTTTATTTCTATTCCCATAAATAATATACCCAGTATGGCACAATGGCTTGCACACTGGATTGTGCTTTGTCACAGAAACAGACTGGGTGGCTCTTTCAGTCTCAGAGGAAGATAAATGCAACCCATTTCTGAACTAATTCTGCTAAGAAAATCTCATGGTAGGGTTGAATTAGATCAAAAGAACAGCAAAAAAATATTTTTAAAATGTTCAGTTGTATTGTTTTATTGCTTTTATTCTCAAATACTTTCCAAAGCTAAAGTGGGAGGCTTAGGCAATACATGTGGCAGTCTCCTTTGTCCTAAAATACATTGAAAGCTCATGAAAGTTAGTGAGATCCCAAAATGCTCTTATTTAAAATATTGAAGATCATGAATGTAAGAAAACAAAGACATTCCCACAATTTTCTCCATGATTTCTGTCATGCTGTTTACATTTCACAGGTATTATTCCCCTACTCCACTTGGTTTGTATATTGCATGTGGTACACATAAAACTAATTTCAAAGATGGATTGAAAGATATGTTTCAAAATTAGTTTTACAGGTTGTTGTCTTGTACAACTGTTAAGGTCATTCGGCTGTTACTGTAGAATAAATATGTATGTGTAGAAAAGGTCATTACATTACATTAAAAACACCAGAATTAAATGTAAAACAGTGGTGTTCATTATTCTTTAAAAAGCTTAATGCTGTCTGTCGAGTGCAAAATGCTTATTGATTTGACCTCATAATGCTAAATAAATTAAGCAAGTATTTTACAATTAATTGTGCATCATTATCGCCAAAAGTAATTTTTATGACACTTTATTAGGTCTTCAGGGAGTTTAATTTATTCATGCCACTGATTAAATCAAAGTGCCTGAAGCAGGTATTGATTTATATTGCCAATACCATTATGAACATGCTTTGTGTGATCATCACATTACCATATTGTCTATATGTAAGGTCAAATTAAGACAATTGCTGGTGTCTAGTACAGCAATATGTGTAAAGTATTAACTTTATGAAAACATGTTTATTCATAGTTTATATTACATTAAAGCAGCAAAAATATATATTTTAGTTATGGAGCCATTATCCAACACAAAAAATAAAACCTCTCCTCACCGATCACATCCAGGAGCTTATACACACTAAAAGTTAATTCCTTGAATTCTACTATACTTGTTTATTTATGTCAAAACAAATACGGAACCTATCAAGACCTTGAAAAATAACTCAATTTGAAAGTTATCATTTCTTTTTAGAAATATACAAAAGCTTGGTAAGACCTACTAATGCAACAGTTGATTGTATTTCTCATGTATTATACCTTTGGTTTGTAACTTCTAACTTCAAAGTAAAGCAAGATTGGAAAACCGCAACAGGTTCATAGGACAATTTTACTTCCCAGGAACTTCTGGAGATTACATGCACAAAACCAGGAAAAATGGAAGTGGCTTATGGGTCTAAGCAGCATAAACTGCTCAGTGGTTGTTGTATGCAGCGTGTCCATACTGCCCATCTCTGAAGTAGACAACTGCTATCAGATTGGAAGATATTGCTGTTTTGCCTTCTGTTACTGAATTTCCTTGGTAGCTTAGTAGAATTTCTTACCTCTTCTTCTAGCCAGTCATTATACTGAACAATAGAGGACATTGCAACATCTGCACCTTTCATGTAAAATGTGATTTCACCTGTAGATTCATCCTGAAATAAATGAAAAAACCTCACAATCCATATACCACACGTGAGATTAATTGCACAGAAATTTCTGATAGTAAAACATTTAAAGTCAGGACTCCGTGGTAGGATTTTGCAGGTTCCTATCGCTTCTGTCTGCATCCATGATACCCCTTCCTCTCACAGTGCCCCCCCCCCTTGCTGGAACTCTTTTGCTACAAAATGTTCCCATGAAGCCTTCGTTTGAACCCTTCAAATTCGAATCCCTCCTTAAACAAAGCATGCAGTGTTATCTGTTCTTATGCATATATCCAAATGGTCCTTGTCCTTCTCTCTTCCCCACTTCCCTTAGCTGCCCATCACCATCAAACTGTGCCTTAATTTGTCTAAAATGTATGTTGCTCCAATGCCCCAGGCATGTCTACATACTGGTATCACTGCCTTTATAATCTAAGCCACAGGAAGAAATACTAATTTACAATTAGTTTTTAAAACGTATAATGCTCTAACTAGGTCAAGCCACTGATTAATATTTTTATTTATATTCTATCTCACCCTTTCAACAGGTTCCCAGGGCAGCTTGCAAACAGTTCCAAATAGATGAAACAAGTTATATGCTTTCATAATTACTAATTCAGAATAAACTGTGTATTGGACTTGTGTTTGATACTGAAGTACACCATTCCATCTTGGCTTAAAGACAAGGAAATGGTGCAATTTGTATTTCAGATTTACTTGGAAAACAGCTTATAGGGTCATTGCTTTAGCTTTAACTTAGCATTAACTGCTGTTAGGTTATTACTAAGAAGGGACATGGTAATAGTGGAAGATGCATCTAATTTCTCAACTTTTATATTTGAAAACTTATATCTTCAAAACTACACACTTCAGGAAACCTAAAATCAAGAAAAAAATATACAAAACGTACCCTCACTATGATTCCCATTCGTTTGCTCTCAGATGTGAAAGGAAAAATTTGCAGAATATAGTAAGTCAGAATTTGTCCACCCGGGGTTTTCAGCTGCATTGAAGTCAAATCTCTGTTCACCAAAGTAAGGCCCACACTTTCTGTCCACTGCACCAGAGCTACCTAGACAGAGACATGGTAGTTTTAATTATCAGTTATATTCAGTGCAAATCAAGTCAAACACAAAAACTAGAGCCTTTTAAGGGTGAATTTTCATTTTTGGAATGGAGAACATTCTGCATTTTGAGGTGGCAATTCTTGTCAAAGAATATAAGCAGGATTTACAAATTTGCTTCTGAAGGAGAACAGGTCACAGAATTCATCCTGATCCTAGGAATAGTGGATAACATATTTATCAGTGGTCCTTAATACATACAAAACTGGTGCCAATGGAAACATATAGTGTGCAATTATAATTATCAATGTCTAGTTATTAATAAAACTGGCTACTAACAAAGCAACACTGGTATTGTCCTTATCAAGAGAAGACAATAGCAACAATTTATCAGGAAATGACTTTATTAAAAATTGCATTCTCATAAGATTACGAATAAAAATTGGAACAACAAAGCGTTGTGTAAAAGCGATCCAGATTCATTCCATATAATTACATCCTGGAGCCTTTGTTTAAGTTCATAGGTTTATTGTGTGTTATCATATGCAAGCAACTATGGATCTTGAATGAAAAAGCATTATTAAAGATGGACTTGAATGAAACAGCATTATTTCATGTAGATAAATACAGAATTCACATTTTGATGCTTGACACAAATGTGAAATCAGAAAGGTCCTGAGTGAGGCAGAACAAGGAAAAAGGTTTGCCTTTCTTTCTTATTTCACCTTAAATAATGATGAAATGGTCAATGCTCTGCTTCTAAAATTACTACTAAAGGGATATATGCTATACAGAATAGGTAAAGAAATCTAAGAATTAATTCTCGTATTCTTCATTCTATGTACATATTTCAATGAAAAGTCTAAACAAAGCAAGCCATACATATTATCATCATTCAATCATGTACATATACAACATGTGGGTGAATGTAATGTCAACTCAGTAAATTCAATCTGTTAGAATAACAGAAATAATTACTAGTCATATCTGTGTTTCCACTTACAGCCCCCGATTCACAATTACAGCCAGTCTTACATCCCTGGATATCAGATTTTAAATATATATATATTTCCAATAAATGTCTAGGGCACTTCATAGTATTTATTAGGGCTGGGCGGTTTCGTTCGTTAATTTCGTAATTCGTTATTAATTCGTTATTTTTTTTTTATAACGAAGCGATATTGAACCATTCAGGAGCAACTAAAAATCGAAACGAATTTTTCAATTTGTTTCGTAATTGTTTCGTAATTGTTTCGAAATTGTTTCGTTATTATTTCGTTATTATTTCCGTATGTCTGGTGCAAGTTTTATAGTTGTTGTTTGTTTTATCAGTGATAAAAAATAAATTATCACACCAACAGTCAACAACAGAGGGAGAGGGAAGCTTCAGAAGTTCCCCCTGTCCCATTTGGAGGTTTTTTTTAGCGTATTGCGCAATCGTGTCCGCCATTAACGAATCGATTCGTTATTGTTTCGAAATTGTTTCGTAATTTCCGAAATTTCGTAAATATAGAATTTTTTTAAAGAAAAATTTCGGAATTCTTTAAAAAAAATGAAACGCAAAAACCCCCTAAAAACGAATCGAGTTTAGAAACAAATTTTTCCGTGGTTGCCCAGCCCTAGTATTTATATATTCGAATTAAAAATTAACAAAATAGGAGTCCATATTCAATACAATGGCAACAAGCTCAAGTTTAAATTAACATATTGCACAATACTGTCCATCCAGTCATTATTGTGCTTGCTGGAGTTATTGTACACCAGTGCAGAACCACAATGGCCCCCAAGACTAGTCATCTAACAGCGAGTCAGGCTTCAGTAGAAAACAAAGAACATAATTATCAAGTACAGCAGAGAATGATAGAGAATACTCCCCAACCCAGTTGTTCTCAACTTGTGGGTCCCCATGTGTTTTGTCCTACAACTCCCAGAAACCCCAGCCAGTTTACCAGTCAGTTGTTAGGGTTTCTGTGAGTTGAAGGCCAAAACATCTGGGGATCCACAGGCTGAGAACCACTGTGGGCCTAACCATTCACTACCACCAGTTGCTAGAGGCCCCAGAATTTATGGATGTGTACTTGCACTTATGCATCCAATATGCCTTCTCATATGGTAATTGGGGCTTTTTTTGTAAAAAAAAAAAGAAGATGTTTCATTTATAAGAGATAAGCATAAAAGCTATTTAAAGTGTTCTTTCCCCCTGTGATAGTAATTAAATATGCCTTAATGGAAAGTACTGTTATGACTATTAGTAAGAAATTCAGATAGGACCAAATGAATTTGACCATACTAGAAAAAAAATACGGGTAGTAAATAAAAGATAGTTTGCAGGATATATCATGGCTCAGGTATTATTATTATTAGCCCTAGTTAGCTACAATGTGGAGAAAAGATTGCTAGAGGAGAAAGAATAACATAAATGTATTTTAAAATGTCATTTTTAGATTCACAAGAAATACTTTTGAAAATCTAACAAGCCTACTATATTAGCTGCAAATGCTCCAATACACCGAAGGTTCATTTTTAATTTTCACAGTGAAAGGCTACTATTACATTTTGACCTGTAAATTGCATCTTTCCCTTAATACCCGATCATCTTATTTGTGTCCCTTTGCTAAGAGGACTTGAGTGTTCTATATTTGGTGACTCACATGGGTTTATTATTAAGTTTAGGCTTGGCTTCACAAGTTGAGTTGGCAATTTATAGCACAGTCACATTTTAGATCGTTATACCTAGCTTACAGATAAGGTCAAGAAGCTAGTAGACAAGAATTCACTGGGTTCTTGTTATTTATTAGATACTGCCAAACATATACTTCCAAGAGTTAATCTAATATGTTGACTTATTAGTCTGGATCCTACATTTTCATTCTGACACAAGCTGTAATCATTAAGAAGTTCATACACAGAAATGTGTAATCCAAAGCAAAACAGGTAGGAACACAATGATTTATCTGTTGCCATCAAAGCATTTAGGCTTGTGCTATGATTGAATTGCATGAAAAAGGGGGAAATACTTCTAAGAGTATCTTTTCCTACAATCTTCAAATCCTTGGATTTCACAGACACTGCCTGCTATCATTTCACTTTCTTCTGCAAGTCTTCTGTTGCTGAAGAATCAGATGGAAGAATTAACTTAACAAACTATTATATCACTTGAGACAATATGCATGCATGAGTGTGTAGTATCACAGTTGAGCATTCATTAAAAGCCTCTCACCAAAGAGAAAAATATTGTACTTGGAAGAAAACACATAAACTTCCTTAGACTCTGGATCCCATTTCATTGTCTTTTAAAACACTAAGAATAAGATTTCAATGAGTTGCATATGAAATAGCATTGTACATTTTGCCATTTACCCATTCTATTATATTATTGGCTAAGCATGTTGCAAGTTGGGTTAAAAGCATTGGCTAACATGCTTTGGCTATAGGCACAGTAAGGGAAAACAATTCTGACATATGTTAATGTAACCCATCAATACTTAGATGGAAAGATAATCATGCATAGGTGTATTTCAGTAATTCTATTTCCTATCATCTCTCTAATTCCCACCATCTTTGGAAACACATATTTTTGCCTTGCTTTGGAAGGCTATGTGAGAATGACTGGTACGGTTGAGTCTTCCTCCTTAGTATTCCAAGAAGGAAGACCCTTACCAAAGAATGATCTAAGATGGTAAGTACTATACATTTAAAATTTGACCCAGTTATCTGAGTCACTCCCATTGAATAACATGAATGAAATTATATTTTATCTTGTAAAATTTAGCTTCCCTTATCCAGTCTGCACATAACCATTTTATAATTGCAATTATTAATATTGAAATTAAGTACATTATGTGCTGTATCACATTTGTCTTACCTTGCTTACTTTCAAACTCCCCTCCCATGAGATTTTCAAAAACTCTTTAACAAGGGTAAATACTATAGAAATTAAAATCACATATTTTCAAGTATATGTAGTTTAATGTTGAGCCAATAAATAACTATTTATTAGAATTAGCCATTAGAAAGCAACAGCAATTCCTCTTTCCTGACCAAAGAGGAGCAAAGGTCTTCAAAGGCTCCTGTCCATAGCAACTCTATGAATTACTTATGACCTTTGAACTTATTGCTCTCTGTTTAGATTATACCCTTTTATTGCTTCATTACAATAGTTCATCACTTGTTTTCCATTATTCAATTGGACATTATCCACAGCATATACACAGTTGGGTTTTATCAAGGAAGTCCTCAACATGTCCTCTTTCCTTGCTATGCTGTAGAGGGCACAATTAACAGACAAATGAATCTTTCCATTCTTTCCAAGAAAATGAAATATTGATCACTTATCATAAGAAACAATGAGCTTGGCATAAGTAGAGCGCATGCTATGAATACAGAGTAAGTTACTTATCTTGAAGCTACAGTAGCTACATGCATTATAATGAGGGTTCCCATTGCTCTTAATAATCTCTTTAAAATGTGTTAGTGAATATGTCAACAGCCATAGATACTATATATATCTGAAACTAAAAACTTCTTTATTACTCAGGCTTTTCATTAATCAAACAGGCTTTAGTTTGTAGAAAGAACAAAATATATGTAAACTGATTTTTGGGTCACTATTGGTTGTAAACACTCTCTGCAATAGCACACTGTATGCTGCAAAATGCTAACAATGATATATATTTATGTATATAACATATTTATTGGATTTATAAAAGATCAGAAAATACTCCACTGTTAAACAAGCTGAATCTAAAAACTCAAGTCTGACAAATCAAACTGTGGCTTATTAACCAAATATGTTTTGATAGGTCAGCAATGAGGTTAAAAAAGAAAACATCAATTGAACAATTTTCCCAAATAAAGCTCCAGGGTGCAATATTCCAAGTACTTTATTCAATAAAAATGCTTTTAAAATGGTATTTGTGTGATTGGGAAGCATTGGCATCATCCGTCAACCTAACTGCAAGAAAGTTCAATACGCTAAATAATGAACCATTTACATTATTTTCCTTAGGCTCCAGTGATTTGCAAGCACTGCATCAATAGAGCTCTTAAAATTATGATAAAGGCCTTCTGGTCTTCTCAGTTATAGCTTTCGTTTTGGTCATATAATGATTTTTTAATTTATTTAACTGTTTTCATAGCTTCTTTTTCAACATTTAAGGAAAAGCTTAAGAGATAGCTTTTACAAGAATTTTAGGAAAGAATGACAATTTTAAGAATCATAAATAAAAACAGGCAGACAGGATTGTCTTATGTTTTGCCTGAATATGTCTGCATCTGGATCCAAAGCACTTCAAATTACGTATCTGCTTTTGACAAGCAAACAATTGTTGGATACCATTTCACTATCTCCGTTGTTATTTGTTATAGGTATTGATTTTCCCTATTCAGTTGTGCTGGTCCTGCAAGTACAATCCAATTATTTGATATGATTTTTCAGCAAGTGGCAAATGTTAATGTTCTTGATGCCTTACCTCATCGGGGCTTGAAGCTTGATAAGTTCTGTTTTCGTCACTGAAATCCTGATCTACCTCTGCATATTCTGTTTCTCCAGTCACTCCTGTTCTGGATTCATACACAGGTGTAACATTGTGACACAATGCAATGGCTTTGACTGCTTCGTGTATTCGGCTGCTGACAGTTTTGCGGACTTTAGGTGCAGAAGACTGGATCTTTCTGGATGGTGTTGAACCGGTATTGTTTCCACTGGCTTGGGAATGTGCCTTTGAAAGACAAACAGACTAATCAGAATGTTTGGATTTTTAATGTCTTTTGCACAGCAGGCTTTGATAGACCCATCTTATGAGGGGAGGGAGTAAATCATCCCCTTCCAATTGCACTGCATACCACTTTTTGACGAGCATCATGCCCAGCAGTGACACAATTTACTTTGTTAACAATAGTAGCTGAAACACATTATCTTCATAAGAACCACTGTTTCAGATTGAGAATGTTCTGTTCACTGTTGACTAGCTGTCCATGGGAAGTGAGCTAACAGAACCCTTCCATCGCAAGTGAGGTTGGTGGGGACGAAGGAGAAGGTCTTCTCAGTAGTAGCTCCCTGAATCTGGAATGCCTTCCCCAGGGAGATTACGCAGCCACCTACCCTCACAGCATTTAGGAGGAACCTGAAGACCTGCTTATTTAAACAGGCTTTTGACAGTGATTAGTCAGTCTCTAGGATATGGATCTATCTTGATGGCAATGCCCTTATAGCTCAGAGGAATGACTATGTATTAATCTAATGCTTATAATATTATTGTTGATTTTACTATTTCGTTATGCTGTATTTTTATGTGTTACATTGATTGGATATGTTGTTAATTGCTTGTTTCATTTTATTTATTTTACTCTACTGCACCTTATTGTATTGTATTATGTTGTAAGTCACCTGAGTCTCCTGGGGAGAGGGGGCGGGATAGAAATAAAATTTTACTACTATTATTATTATTACAATCTAAGTGCAAATGTAGTTTGTTTCCAAAAGGAACCAAATCCACCTGAACAAATTATATAGGAATCGAGAAAAAAGAAACCCTACTGGGGATATGCATTATTTTGCTAACCCTAACCCCTAACCCTAACCCAAGCCTTGTACCAAAATGATTGGTTACATTTTGATAGTTTTGATCTATGCATAATATTCTACTCCAAGCCAACAATGTTCTGCCACCTATAATCCATTTTTCAATTTTTTGGGATTTGGTACCTTCTGGAAACCAATTCCCCAAATGCTTTCAGATGTTATGATCTTTAAAAACCCACACACATCACATAAACTCACAGCTTTAAGAGACTTCAAATATATGATTCAGGAGGAAACATTAGGAAAACAAACATGGGAAGCCTCCCTTAGACATAGGAGAGTCCTAATCTATTAAATAAACGGAAAAAAAATCCTTCTCTTCACTAGACCATGAGTGAAAGGTTTTTTAGTGGCTGACATATTTTATTGTATCATAGCTTAAAAGTATTTTGCCAGGTAGGGATAACTGCTCTCATATGAGTTATATTGTAAATGTGTCTGCTAAAAGGCAGGATGGTGCACATTAATAACCCTATTTCTTGGCAAAAGCTATCTCAGGCAGGTGTTATAAGACAATTCCCCTCAGCTTACCAGTAATATCAAACTATCTTTTATTTTGTACAGGGTAACACCACTGCACCTTGTTTGGCAAGCATGATTTTCTTTTTGACTCCATATACTGATCCATTGAACCGTGAATATTCTGCCCATCAAATTACAGTGCGGTCTAATAAAGGGTTTAACTTTCTGATCATCTGGCACTGTTTTTCAGCAACTGCTTTAAATCCTTGTTTTTGCATTCTGCTAACACTGATACCATTATAGCCACAAATAAATTAAGCTGATTTACTCCTTCTGAATTATGTTATGTTTATTGATGCTTGTATAATTTAATTTCACACAAATTCCATTAAAGATTATTCCCTCTATCACAGAATACTTCCAGTGGGGAAATATAATCAGGTTATAATAGATTTGTGTGTTGCATTAGAGTGGACCTAGTCTGCTATTATCATCTTAATAATAAAACTGAACACAAACAAGGGGGGAAAATCAATGCCACATAAGACCCACTGTATAAATTGGCTGCTTTAATAATCGTTGCTTAAATAAAAGAATGCTCAATACATACTTTTGGAAGCAACTATTTAACAGCTACTTATTTCCCCCCTGGAATGCCATTCCTCCTCAGAAAATATGGTACAAGCTACTTGGTTATTATGGCATTTAGAACTGGAGAGAAAAAGAAGTCCTACTGAAAGAATTCTTTTAGGCAAAAGATCTAGCGTGTGTTTTAATTTTATTTATTTAGCTTTTAGATTAAAATATGCTAAGTTCTTTCATTCAGTCCCCTTTCCCAACATTTCTAAAGTCTGGGTTTTGTAAAAGACAATGGGACTGTATGAAATCAATGAAATTGGGTTCTTGTTTTGAGTAACTACAAATACTATCTATAGGCTGCTATCTGCACAATAAATCTCAATTTCTATTAAACTGGAATTCAGATTTCATGACTTGTTTGAGGTAGGAAAATGTTTAACTTGCTATATGGATGGAGTATAACTCTACGAACACATGAACTTACAGAGCAGAATAAATTTAAGTTTTCCAGCTGATTTTTAGTATTTGCAAGATCTATTACACTTAGGAAGTAAGAGGAAGGACACATTTAGCAACACAGTAATTTATAATACTTAGTGTTACACCATCCTCATTGACACAATTTTGTACAGGATGCAGTGTTTTATCTATAGATCAAAATCTGGTAAGAAAGGCTACATTAAGGATGAGAGATGACACCAGTTATAATTTAATAGAACTTTTTCTTCATCACAGACCCCTTTTTAAATACCCTCCCAAGACTTAACTCAAGATTTAAGGCACTAGACTGCATCAAATAATTATTTCAATTTTCTCATGAAGGGCCTTCAGATTTTGAGAGAAGGGGAAAAACGGTAAATTAATGTTAATGCACACACTAATATAAAATAATATCTTGATTACAATGATTCCATACGCATTTAAATAATAGTATCAACACTAATAATAGTTAATAATTTAATAATTAATCCCCCACAGATCCCTTGTGAGGACATGTATGGCAGATTTCACTGAAATTATTGCCCAGTGCAGTGGTACAACAATGCTCAACTGTGATTTCAGACGACTAAGTTTAAAGGATAATTTGTTAAATGTATTATTTGAGCAAGTATTATTTACTTTTGGTTTGAAGTTACATCTGTGTATTTACTTTAGTCTGAAGTTATTTCAACATGTCATACAATATTAAACCAAATGTTGCAACAGTTGTAAAACAGCAGCTTTGTAAAAATGACACGGAAGAACAGGCCTTTTCAATGTACACCAACAAATAATCAACATCGAACTTTTCTGCAACACAAGACTCTACATTTTAGCTTGAGACACTTTAGCTTCTGCCACTGAAAAAGAGAATAAATAGTTTGCTGAACACCTTCATGCCATCAAAATACCAGACATCACTATAGGCTCCAAGGGCAATACTGGCTACATGTTTTCATCTGATTATCTAATCACTAACAGCCTGGTTTGAAATAACAGAAAGTGTGCTGTGGTAAGAAATGAGTGTTCCAGTTGTCACCACTGCTGTTATTTCAAGAGGCACATTCTTCATCCATCTCAGTAGTGAAGACTGACAAACGTTCTTGCCGCAGTTGTTGGAAAAATGCCATAATGTCAGAAAATATTTGGTGTAAACACAATTGTTTTATTGTTCACTATTTTGTAAAGCTCTTATTAAATCAACCCCTCTATACTGGCAATTTTACATACCTTGAAATATATAGCATTATGTAGCTGTATGTATTCTTAGAATTTCTGATTCTTTCATGTACACTTATTTTTCCCCCTGCTGAAAGCATTAGAATAATAGTAAGAGATGAACTGAGAAGTACTAAATACCTGGGAGTAGGAATTAACAATATGATTTTGAATCTCATCCATTGTGTCTGTTCCATATGACACAGTGCCGAGGTGGAGGCGCTTAAATATCATCTCATTCTGGGTCAGAGTACCTGAAGCAAAAACATTACATATACATATTAAGTACTGATGTTCATTGACTTGAAGCGGGACAATTTACAGTCCCATAGATCCTTTTGTTTTTCTGCTTTGTAAGTCTCAGTTTGTCAAACTTACAGTATGAACACCTGAATAAATAGAACTAAAATGCTGGTTGAATTACTTTCAACTTCTCAATAAAACGGTCAAACTTCAGTATTCTTAGGAAGACTGGAATGTAAAGAATTTTAATGGCACTAGAAAACTATGGTTCTTCGGCAAGAATCTTTGGATACAAAGAATCACAACATTGGGTAAATACAGGCTTGTAGCCCATTTCCATCTGTACTATCCCTGATAAGAAAAATTCTGCTTGATCACAACAAAGGTTTATACAGCCAGGCATGTGATTCCAACAGTACTGAGTCAGATGTCCATGGGAAGCTAACATGCAATCTTCTGGCCATGTTTTCTAACAATTAGTAGTGAGAGGCAAAGTGCCCAGATAAGGCAGTTAATATGATTCGTAGCTACGGACAATTTTAATGATTCCAGCAAACAAAACCTTGTCTATCTTATGACCTCATCTGAATGGGATGGTCAAAAAGTCAAATTTGGCTGTAAAATTATGTTGAAAATCTAACGTAGTTGCTTAAATATGGATTCTTCATAGTTTAGCAGTACAGGGAAACACAGACAGACAGATAGACATATACACACTTTAAGATACTGGGTCAGTTACATTGCACAGCTGTCAACACAACATCAAATTTCTAAAAATGAATACAAGCTAAAGATTGCTTGTGATGTTTTTCTGGAAGATTCATAGTTTTACTATTTTACAGATAACCTGTAGTAAAGAAAGAAATATACAACTGTTTTAACATTATTTTAAATCCACACCTTTCTTTCTTTTATTGATGTGGCTCTGATATTTTAAATGGAATTTTATGACTATTTGTAATAGTCAGGCCACTGCATTTCTAACATATTTTATTTCAGTAGGCTGGATGCGGGTTCTCTTCCATTAGTGAAAATTCATTCCCTTAACAAAAGGTATTCTGGCCCAACTGTGGTGTCTGGTGATACACGAGTAATTTGCAATAATTTCCTCTTCCCTCTGAAGCCTCTTTTCTAAATCTCTGGAACAGATTCCTGAAGGGTGAGTGATGAAGTGGGAATAGGGGAAAAATTTGTCCCTGTTTTCTGTGTTCTAGAGAGTTATAGTGTATAGGGTCTTTGCCTTTATCTGTCAAAGAGTTATTTTGCCTCATCAAACTATAAATCCCGGGATTTCATAGCATTGAGCGATGGCAGTTGAAGTGGTGTTAAACGTCATTAGTTCTACAGTGCAGATGCACCCCCTAGTTTCTGGAGTAACAGAAAACAATCTGGTTTCATCCTCAATATTGTATTCCTTCAAATATTTACACATGACTATCATGTTACCTTTTAACCTTCTCTTCTCCAGGCTAAACATATCTAGCTCCCTAAGTTGCTTCTCACAGAGCAGTTTCCAGACTTTAACAATTTTGGATCATATCAATATTAATCAAAAATTGCCTCCTTTATAGCCTTTTGATCAGAAGAAATGTAAAATACTTTCCCCCAACAAATCTACATGTGACTTAAGAAAAATAAAGCAGATTCCATGCTGTTTCAAATGGGCCACTGGAAATTATCTCCCCCTTTCAACCAATGTTGCCTGTAATTGGCACAAAGCCTTGAATTTCACAATCAACATAAATAGTATGCTTTTACAGATCACTTCCGATCTTTAAGAAACTATAGGTTGTCATTCAAAGAGTGACATTATGTTCACTAGTCAACAGTGACATCCTTGACTCTAAGAAAGCTTTAATTGAAGGGTGGGCATTGCAGGGTCTGATGATAAGACACAGGCCTGAAAGTCATCACTGGACAGGTTCATCTGCTGATTCAGTCAAGGAAGTTTGGATACCATATTATTTAAGCTTCAGCGCAGGATGAAAGATACCATTCTTTGAATCATGGTGGGATTCAAGTCATGTCATCATTTAATGACTGCCCAGGATAGATTGTTAATTACTTCATTTCATTCCTTTCTATTTTTAAGGGTGTCAACATATGGTTATTGAAAGCTATGGGATAATAAGAAACTCCTGAAATCTGTTGTGTGCAGTTGAAAATTTGTAACATAATATATAGCTCAAGCCTTTCAGAGAACAGAAAACAGCCCGTTCTAGAGGATGAAGACTTATTCTTGATCTTGTGACCTTGTCTAGAATGTCAGTTAAACACAGCAAGTCATAGGAAGGAAGGAAGCTACAAATGCATGACAATTACTGTTCAGACACTAGATATCGTTTAGACAGTTAACATCAAGCTTCTGTACTCAAAAGGCATCTCTATTTGTGCTCATGTTAGTTGAATACTGAATCCTGCCAGTTATAGATTATATTCAACTTCTTGTTTTCCTGTTTTTTATAATATTCATAGTTCATTCTCATTTATGCAATTATCAGAACAAATCAGTTTGTTGCATATTTTTAGAAAAGCAATTTCTTCATAACTTGATAACATTTATAAACATACTATAAATACACAGACATTCTGTGACAGAAAGAATATATTTCAGATTCATCCCATAAGCACAATCTCTGTAGCTCCTTTAAGCAAAACATCATTCCTTCCATGTAGTGAATGATCTTGACATCTGGGTTGTTGTAGGTTTTTTCGGGCTAAATGGCCATGTTCTAGAGGCATTCTCTCCTGACGTTTCGCCTGCATCTATGGCAAGCATCCTCAGAGGTAGTAAGGTCTGTTGGAACTAGGAAAAGGGTTTATATAGCTGTGGAATGACCAGGGTGGGACAAAGGACTCTTGTCTGCTGGAGCTAGGTGTGAATGTTTCAACTGACCACCTTGATTAGCATTTGATGGCCTGGCTGTTGTTTGGTGTGGTTGTTTGGTGTGCCTGGAGCAATCTTTTGTTGAGAGGTGATTAGATGTCCCAGATTGTTTCCTCTCTGTTGTTTTGCTGTTGTAATTTTAGAGTTTTTTTTAATACTGGTAGCCAGATTTTGTTCATTTTGTTCAGCAATATGGATTTGGTTTGTAGCATCATGCTGCTCACAAGGTTCCACAGAGGCAACAGTAGTACCATGCTCTTATCTGGTGGGAATGAGCTAGGCTCCAGGCCACCATGCCTCTGCATTCACTTAGACAAAGCCCAGTAGTCAAATGATATTTCTTCATAATGCTTTGGGTGTCAGTTTTACCAAGAGGTAAAGAGCATATGAACTGAGAAATAATATTTCTAGGAAATTATGGACAGATGAATGAAGGGGGGACGTTGCTGCATTATAAATGTTCCAAACAATGTCCTTTCTGGAATGCTAACAGAAACTAGAAGGGGTTTCACCATCAAATTATACCACACCTTGATGGCATCAACAATTGCTGGCACTTCTTAAATGAAATCTGCTGCATTATATGTACGTGGGAAAGGTCAGAGAAAGAAAACCCAGTGATAAGTTCACACAAAGTTCAGTGTGACTAAGACAAAACTAAAAATGAAATTGAGAAAGGGAATATTCAAGATAAGGAAAAGAAGCGGAATATTGTACAACTTGCCAAGCAAAAAACAAAGCAAAAAACCCTCCTCAGAGAAAGCTTGCCTTGACGTTGCTGTAGCATCAATAACCACAAAAAAGAACTGAGGCCCCTTCTACACTGCCAGACAAAATCTAGATTATCTTCTTTGAACTGGATTATATGGTTATGCAATGAAATAGAATCCAAATCTTCTCATTCTAGAACATGGGTGCATTTCCTCCTAGGAACCCGTAAGCCAGTGGTTACTGTTTTTCTTCTCTGTGGGAACAAAATCCTCACACAGGCCTGAGGTCCCTTCTGCACTGCCATATAAAACTGGATCATATGATAGTGTAGAAGGGGCCTGAGTAAGATAGTTATGTTCTGCCCCAGCTCCCCTTGGGAAACCTGTGTGAGGATTTTGTTCCCACAGAGAAGAGAAACAATAAGCACTGCTTATGGGCTCCTAGGAGGAATTGCACTCATGTGCTAGAACAGGGGTCCTCAAACTTTTTAAATAGAGGGCCAGATCACAATCCCTCAAACTGCTGGAGGGCCAGATTATTATTTATTTTTTTTAAAAAAAAACATGAATGAATTCCTATGTACCCTGCACATATCTTGTTTGTAGTGCAAAAACATTTAAAAACAGTACAATAATTAAAATGAAGAACAATTTTAACAATATAAACTTATTAGTACTTCAGTGGAAAGTGTGGGTTTGCTTTTGACTGATGAGATAGGATTGTTGTTGATGTGTGCTTTCAAGTCATTTCAGACTTAGGTTGACCCTGAGCAAGGGCCGAGTAAATGACCTTGGAAGGCAGAATCTGGCCCTCGGGCCTTAGTTTGAGGACCCCTGTGCTATAATGACAAGATTTGTCATGGCTGAATCAACATCACCAAGATTGACCCAACAGCAACATTTGGCTGACATTAGACAAGATTCCTCAAAAAACAAGAAACTAGCAACCAAACATTGATACTTTACCCAGAATAATTAGTACTTCTGTTGTGACTATATTTCTTATTACCAGTATACAAAGTACAGTATTCCCATTTTAAAGCGTTTCATGAAACTGTTTTGGGATTCAATAAAAGCAACAAGGTTTTCCAATAATAATAATAATAATAAAAACCAAGTTTCTGAAAATATATTTGAGCATTGGACTACGACTCTGGAGAACACAGTTTGATTCCCTACTCGGCCACCCACTGGGCATGTCACAAACTGCATGCTGCATTAGCTTTAAGTTGACTTGACTGGAGTTAGACTTAAGTTTAACCTTAAGTTGACTTGAGTTGCAACAATTCAAAACAACATGAAGGTTGTCCTTTAGAAAGTTGGTGAAAACCTGGCTCTGGTATTTGGCATTTGATGAGTGAGGCAATAACTCTTGACCACACAGACGGATGGGATGAATAGTGATTTTATGTTA